TTCTTCAGAGTTTTTTTTCCTGCCAGTACTTTGGTACTGTCTTATCAAGCAGTGCTACAGCTGGGAGACAATCAGCTCGAGGCAAGTTTCAGCTTGGTCACCTTCCAGAACTTGTATTTTGTAAGTGTAGGATAAGCACTTGCATAGCCTGGGGAAAAGCCTCTTGGAGCTCTTCAGAAATGATAATGTTTCACCGTATCTTCCTCTACCCCCTGAACCCTCCAGGTCTTTGTTAAAGACAATGCCATTCCATGCTTACCTGAGGACTTTCAGAACTGCTTAATTAAACTTCATTTCTGAGTAGCTAATTGGTTTCAGCACAACACAGACTGTGGATTTGCTTTTGGTGTGGTGCGTACAGAAAAAGCAGGCAGGGCCATGAAGCTAGGGGTATGTACAAATTGGTATGTCTCCATTTGGACATTATTTAACACATCAACTAACTCTTCCAGAGGTGTTATAAATTCATTTAACAGGTGTTGGGTAGGTGTCTAAATTTTAGCTTCACAGCATCGCAAACATCTTTGAGTGTAGGACAGTTGAAACTCAGCTGCGTGAGTTGTTAGTTTTGTTAGTTCAGACCTATCCATTTACAAAAATACGTTGATGTTTTTGCTCTGTAACTTTTTCCAGACTAGGAGTTTAAGTCAGATTGCCATTCCTGTTTTGTGCTGTTTAAATGTAAAGGTTTGTGGTTTGAGGTTTAGGAATTACCATGGGGAGGGCTGCAGGACCGTGACAGAATGCATTCAAAGTCACTCAGACACTATTAGCAATAAAACCTTGCAAGACTTTTTTTTTTTTTTTTTACCAGGCTAAATACTGATTGCAGTTTCCCTAGTGTTAAATATTGAGGGGATGGACATGTTGTGGGACCATCTGTACTTGATGACCATCTCAGTTACGGTTGATTTGAAAACAGCAAAGTAATAAATGGTTATTTACACCCTCTTGCCATCCCCTTCCCGGATACTGGCAACCAGATACTGGCAACCGGTGCTAGCGGTTGTGCTGATAAAGCTTTCTTGGGTGGGAAACACTGTTAAGCACTCAAAAAGGTTTAAATACTTGATTTAAGAATGTAAATCAGCTTGGTTCATCATGTGTCCAGAAGCTCTGTTTTGTTTGATTTCATAGTCATTTAGGTTGGGAAAGACCTCCAAGATCACCAAGTCCAGCTGTTAACCTAGCACTGCCAAATCTACCACTAAGCCATGTCCCTCAGCACCACATCCATGCATCTTTTGAAGACCTTCAGGGATGGTGACTCAACCACTTCCCTGGGCAGCCTGTTCCAGTGCCTCACAACCCTTTCTGTGAAGAAATTTTTCCTAATATCCAATCTAAACCTTCCCCTGGTGCAGCTCGAGGCCATTTCCTATAGTCCTATCTCTTGTTGTGTATTTGTAAGGCAAAGCACTACAGAGATACTGGAAATCTTAATGTTTCCACATTGAATCCATGACCTTCAGCACTTTGATTTGGTGTTCTCCCTTTTTGGAGAAACACAAAGCTCTTAGCATATTTGTTGAACTGAAGGTTCCCAGGATCCCCACATGGGTTTAAGATGTTTTGGTTGACAGTTCGTGGTATAGTGATTTCTGTATGAAGATACAAACTTCTGAAATTAACAGCTGCACTATCGGATTATATCCAAAGTTAAAATTTGGCATCATACAGCTAAAATATACGTCTTTAAGCATTTTAATAGTTTCAGAGTTTTTTTTTCTTTCTGTTGTATGACTTCATTTTTAATGGTTGAGCAGTGCTTTGAAGATTAGAAGCACTGCTGAATTGCAAGCATGTTTTTTTGGTTAATTACGGATTAATGACTGTTAAAATCTGTCAAGTTGGCTGCTCCAAGTGATTGAGTTGCTTTGGTATTTTTGAAGACTAACTTCATAAGGCAGGGAGGACTTTTGAGTATTATTTAGTAGTTATTTGTATAACCTCCTCTAAAGAGCTGTTGTACGCCTAAATATTTCTTACACACTAATTGTATTTGCGAAGTTGCACACGTGATTGTTACATGACTTGTATGTTCAGAGGTATCAGCTGAATTTTTTTAAGTACATGTATTTTGATAGGAAGTCAAATTAATTGATAAGCTTTTTACTCAAGTACGTAGCCGTTCCTGGCTGGCCCTGCACGTGCTGTCGCTGCGATGCAGTGACAGGGATGTGGCTTGGTTGCTCTTCGTTTCATGTGGCTGTGGCAAAGCAGTGGTGGGTCTAAGGGTATTTAAAACAGATTGTACAAAGAGGCAGCATGTCTTACTGGATGAATATGTAGATGGGAATTATAGTATTTGGAAAGTGAATCAGCATTGGATGAGAGATTGGTGATACTGGTGTTCATTTAGATTTCTTTGGGATATTTGTGTCATTTGGAAGAACTGATTTGTAGTTCAGTGTGTTGTATCAGTGCGATTCTTTTCAGACCAATCAAACCGTTCTGTTCCTGTTCTGATGCTTTATAAGCATAGCATCTTTCTGGGAAATACCTAGGTACGAGTTAGCATTCTTTGAGGTTTACTCAGTCTGAAGCATTTGTTTGTGCAGTCAGATCGTGGCATTGCTGCTTGTACCGCGATCAGCTCTGGATTAGCAAACTCTGCATTTGGAGGGCTGCTCTTAGGACTGAAACATTTTGGTGCCTGTTTCCACATCGGTCATATGGTAGTGTTTTAATGGCAGGTTTTTCAATCCAAGTTTAAGAGCATGCTCTACTAAAGGCTTGTGTGTTATGTGCTAACTGAAACTCTCCAGAACAAAGAACAGAATGAAAACAAGGATGATGTGTCATCGGGTGCATTTCTCAGACTTCACGATCATTTATCGTTTCATAAATGATTTCAGTAGCTAATGTATTTTCCAGGGCAGTCATAAACCGTAACTTCTGCAGCTTGTTAACGGGTGTGAAATCCAGAGAAGTGAGCTCATGAGCTACTTTTCTGCTACCTTTCTTAAAGACTCCTTTAGAAAACAACCCTGTAAGTGAGCCTAATTTGGGGTCTGTATCTGCCTGGATGAGCCTAAACTGGGGTCTGTATCTCTGCTGCGGTCTTCAGGTTGAAGATGGAAAACTGCTGACTTAGGTAACAGCTTTATCGCGTATGGGAGGACTTGGTTAGCATTTGAATGCCTGGTTTTATCTTCCTGAAAAATCATTGATACTCTGTGACAGCCCATGCGCTTTTAATTTGCTGCCGCTTTCTGTGAGCAATTATTATCAGAAATGCTGTGATAAAATTGACATCATATAATGCTTCTGGAGCAGAATCAGTGGGAAAACAGGAATTATAGTAATGGGGCCAGTCAATGCGCACAGAGAACTCGAGAACGAATGAAGAGGGTATCAGTGGAAAACATGAGGCTTATAGGGTTATAAAGATACTGAAAATAGCTATTTAGCAAATTGAGAGCGTGCTATGTTGTAATTAATTAATAGGCTAGTTATGGATGATATTTTTTTTATGGATTCCTTGACTGTGGAAGATGGAGCTTGTGGCAAATATATGGTAAACCTTAGCTAATCTATGCTAAACACAAGTTGAATATTTTTTATGTCTTCTCAGTGATAGAAGACATTTGGTAAGTTGAGATGATTTAGCTCTTGTTTGTTGCTCTTTTTTTCAGCATTAAATTCCATTTCACTTCCAATTTTGCCCCAAGAAAGAAATCTGTTTGTAAAGTTTTTTTTTGTAATCACTTTTGATCTCCCATTTAACCTATACCATGGCTCTGGTTCATTAAGGGTGTTTTTAAAATTGTGACGTAATTATGCTAGCTAACTTAGGAGGAAGCTAGAGAAAAAATTACAGGGATAAATACATGTTTCTGATAAGTAAATATGAGCTCTCCCCCATCAGTAAATACCACTATTTGCACCAAATCTGTTCTCAAATTGATTGAGCTGGAATCCATTATACCAGGGCATTTACCAGTGCATGTTAGAGCAGTAGTGTAACAACAATGTGGTCATCAGACATTTTCTGGTGCATTTTGCTTGGATGGATTAGGATATAGTGAAATAAAATCCACTTGTGCTGGGCCAAATATATATATATTTTTTCAAGTCTGTGTTTTGTGGTTAGTGTATCTTATCTTATTCTAGTTCTTGTTAAACAAAATTTTACTTGTGTAAAGCATTTCTAGCAAATGACTCTTTTGGAGTGATGATTGTTCATACTGTTCCAGTTCCCAGTATCATCTCCTGGGAATCATTCATCATAGAGTTCAAATTTAGGAAGGAAGTGAGAAATGCATTATTAAAAATATAAGTAATTTGTGCTCCTATTTTCTTTTATCATTCATTATTAAATATCCTATAAAATGCACAGTTTACCAAATCCAAATTACTTGAGCATCTGAAGTAAAATTGCAAGAAGATATAATTTGAAAACATGCATTTTCTGCCTTGTAAAAATTTCCTACCAGTTTCTGCATAACTATTTTCAAGGTGTTTTGATGGTGTTTCTTGTGCAACGTTTCCCTCAGGAGGGAGCTTATTGCCCCTGCAAGCAGCTTTTAACGGATACAGCAAGAAAGTAAAGTTCAACCCCCCAAAAAATCAATATTTCATTTTAGAAGGTGTTTCAGAAAATTGGTTTAGAACTGCATTTTGACTGTTCATTTAATGGTCTTTTAAATTCCCCTGTAATTTTAGAATGGCTGTTCTTTAACCTGTATTGAAGTTGCTGCTATTTTAGCCAGTAGCTTACTTGGTGTGCAGCTCCAATTTATGCAACACTTAAGACTTTCTATTTGGAATTTAAAAATTGTTGGAGGAAAAAAATGGTTACCTATTATGATTTTTCTTGTCTTTGTGTTTTTAGGTTGTGTTAAAGATCATTAAACATTACCAAGAAGAAGGACAGGGGAATGAAGTGGTCCAGGGAGTGCTGCTGGGTCTTGTGGTGGATGACAGACTTGAAATCACCAATTGCTTCCCTTTTCCTCAGCATACAGAAGATGATGCAGACTTTGATGAAGGTAATGGTTACAGTTCTGCAAAACTTGAGGTAAAAAACTTCACGTGTGCAAAATAAGGATTGTTTTTCCTCAGCAACTGGAAGCTTGTATATGATGAGTGTTTTTGTCTGGCTTGAGGTATAAATTTCAAATCCCATCCTACGTGTCCAGCTGCAGTATAAGGAAATTGATAGTGCTACCGTATTATATATACACACACAAATTTTAGGGTAAGACTGTCACACAGGAAATTGCATTAGTTTCTAGTACAGAATTTGTACAGACTTCACGTATTTCTATGGAAATACCTGTGTGCTTGTGTGTGTATGCACACAAACATGCACCTATGAATGTAGATTTCCTGCCTGTGGATTTATTTGTATGTATTAAGTACTCACTGAAAGCCTGGAGGGCAGGGTTTGGTAAGTTTAAGAAGCACTGTTTAAAATGTGTGATTTTTTTTTTTTTTTTTTTTTGCTTTTCTAAGTGACCCAGAAGTAGCATCAGTTGTTTATATCTGGCTCAGCGTTTCCCTGCTGGCCCAGCAATATTTCCTTATTGTCAAAGTCAGTCAGTATAGTCAACTTGACAGAGAATGATATAAAATTTATAAAGTAAACTTCAGAGGCTTACAATTCTAATCTTTGTGTGTGCTTATCTAATGATACTATGTAGAAATGCTTCTTTGTTAGAGCTTAGACAGTTTGACTTCAAGAGTAACTAAAGAGGCAATATAATCAAAAGTAGTTGTGGTTGGAAGCTTGATTCTATCTAATTTTGGTAATTCAGTTTGAGCAAGATTACTTAATTTTTAAGTATAAACTGCTTTTTCTTGCTTGTAATAAGATTAGGTATTATTAAATTAATATCTTATTTCAAAAGAATCTTAGACTCTACCTTTAAAACAGATATTTTAAAGCTTACAGCTTGGTAGGGTTTGTTAGTTGATTATTGCTTTTGTTGTGAGATTGTACAATTCACAACTTCAAGAATAACAAAACAAGGGAATATTAATTGTTCTAGAGTAATATGGTGTGAGAATCAGAATTACATTTTATGAAAGCCTAAAAGATTGTTTCTCTCTTCTCTAAGCCTTTGAAGAGCTATAGTAAGCTAAATTTTTAATTGCAGACTGCTTCAGTTTTCTTCCTGAAGAAAAAAAAGGCTGAATTGTTTCTGTGTAGCTGATAGATGAGCAAGGAGTGAAATAATTAGTTTCTGAGATGGATTAATCTCACCACAAGATGATTGCCATGCAGAAACTGTATGCCTGTGATCTTGCATGCAAGGTTCAGCTATTCCTGCTTGGAAAAAAAACAAAAAAAGTGACTCATTACCAGTCTTTCTCTTCTCAACAAGTAGGACTTGATGATCTTGGAGGTCTTTTCCAACCTAAGTGATTCTATGATCGTGTAAGTAAGCAATGATCCTGGCATAAAGTAAAGTGCAAAAGCCAGTGCTTTTGGAGCTTCCCTCACCAGGATGCCTTAGCTTGGCAGACTTCTGTTCCTGTTTTACAGGCACAGGGAAGAAAAGCAGACTGGAGCCAGCATAGGAAATGCAGCTATCACAGTAATGCTGATACATGGGTCTGATATCGGTAGGGAATTTGCAGCCACAAATGGGGCTTGCCTGTGTTGAGCCCTGTAAGAGTACAGAGAAGTTCTTTGCCTTCTTGGTAAAATACTTAAACAGACCTAACTATTCACACATCACTCTTGTTCATTCTGCATTCCCTTTACTTAGGGCCTCTTCAGCACTTTGACCCATGTAGTAGAGGCTGGGGAAGATGAAAACCAAAAGAAAATGGCTCTTGAGGTAACCAGTTGAGCATTCGGTTCCTTTTTAGCCTCAATATAGAGTTGTCTTCTGTCTTGCCAACCTGGAAAAACAGCGATGTTTTGTAAATATGCCTTGTTTGTTTTCCCTGAAGCTATGTTTTCTTATTCAAGCATTCTGCCAGATCAAAAGAGTTTTTTTAGGTGCAAATTTCCTAGCAGGAAAATCTCTTATCTGCCAGAACCTTGAAATTCAGGATGTTCAAACCCAAGCCAAACAAGCAACTCCCTCCCCTCAAGACTTGTAAGTTAAATCAGTGCCACGACAGGCTTTGTGTCTGCACAAATTTAGGGCCAGAGATACCAAGGGAAAGAAGAAAAATTCTTGCACTTAAGTGCCCCGTCACCCAGGAAGGTGCTCAACTTCTTATTCTCTTTAGTCTGAATATTGTCCTTCCTTCTTGTGTAGTGTATCTTTTGAATTTTCTCTTTTCCTTTATCTAAGATATTGGAATAGAAACAATCCTGTTGAGTGTATGTTTCTGGGCCTGAGAAACATTTCTTGGCAGTCTTCAGCCGTACTTGATCTTGTATTAATCTGGGGACTGTAGCACAGGTTGAAGGGACACTTTACCCCAGCTGACCTCCTGCAGGAAGAGCATTGAGGGTGCAGGTATGTGTTGGCAAACTCCTAATCTGCTACGGTGAGAACTGAGTTAATGCACTAAAGTTTTTCTTCTGTATCATTCTGCAGGAGCTCTAGGAATGTGTCACCTGAAAAATAACTCGTTTACCTTTTGGTCTTGAGGTGATCATTGTTAGGAGTATGAACCTTGCACACGAGAGGGTGATACTTGAGCAAACAAATTGTTGAGTATTTGGCAAGAGACATTAAAGCTAATGATTTGTTTTTTAAACTGAGGAAACCTAATATGAAGCACATTTATGAGGGTGCTAAGAAAATGCCCTTAACTTAAACTTGAAATAGGTACTTAAATATATAATATTTAGGAATCAGTTGGAAGAAGATAGCTGTTACTAACAGTTAGTAATCTACATGTATTTCTTCAAATATGCTTTTCAAAAATGGTGCCATTTTGTCTTTTATGGCTAATACCTGAGCTGTTACTAAGTTTTGGCTATTAGCCTCAACAAAATTCCTTCAAGAATGATATTTTGGACTTAAAACAAAAAACAAAACAAAACAACAAAACAACCACTTTTTGTGTAAGATTTTGCAGAGCAGTTTGGACTGATTCTGGAAACTGCAGAAAGCAGGAGAGGTTTTTTTTTTTTTTTTTTTTAAGGATTCATTTCTTGTTATAAATTTGGAAGGCTGTCTAACACTTATGAATCCACAGGTATTTCTCATTGTAGAAAGTTTCTCTTGTAGTGTCATCTTCCTGAGATTGTTTTTTATAAAGTATAATATTTTTTGCTAGATTTTTCTGTCAGGGAAGTCTTAAACACGTACAATGGCCTGCTGTAGCATAGTATTTTCCGGGGAGAATTTCAGCCCAACAACCTGTGTTAGAAAGCTGTACGTGAAGTTCAGTTGATGTGTGAGCTAATGGAAGAAAATTGCAGAACTGTTCTATGTTGTTGAGTCTTCAGCAAAATACGCTTCAGCACAAAGTTTTTCATATTTTTGGGGCTGTAGTCTAGACTCTTGTTCCGCAATTTACTTTCAAATAGCTTTTTCCTGATTCCTAATGTGCTTAAATGCTCACAGGTATTGAAATGATTTCTCAAAGCAGAGATCCCTTAAGCTTGAAAAGATACATATGTTTGTGAGATTTTCCCCCTCCCTGATTCAGCTGTTTAGAGAACATCAGATTTCTGCTCTAATTTTTGGTGAAAGCACTTCAGTGAAATGATGCAGTACCCAAGCATGTCTTTGTGATTCTTTAGTTTCCTGAGAACCCCTTTCACTTTAGGGCACTTGAAAGCTTTTGTCTGAGTGAAGTTCTGCTTTTCTTTCAGTTAAGGTTTACACAAAAGGTGTAATGCATGAGAGATTTATTTCTTAGGAAGAAAATACATACTATTCTGGACTACAAATTGTGTCTTTAAGGGGCATGTTATGTTCAATCAATGTTATTAACTCTTGCTTTTCATGCAAGGAGTATAAATTTTCTTTAAACAGGAAGAAAAGCTACTCAATGAATAGCATTGGACAGGAAAATGATGTAGTATACAACTTGTAATTCACTATAAATTTTGAGACATTATTTTGATAAGATTGTTTGAAACAGATTTTTTTTTTCAACCTGATACATTTTAGTACCTTAATTTCTTAGCTTTTAAAGTGCTATAGTAATTGTGCCAATAGCAACTTTGAGACAATTGTATAATTATAAATGAAAAGTTCTAGAAGGTTATACATTTTTCTCATTTTCTAACTGTACAATGTTTTCATCAGAATCCTATTGAAATGCCATAGATGGAAAGGTAATGCCTTCCTCCACTCTCATGATTACATCCTTACCTGAGAAGGCTAATTTTGTTTGTCAGTTTTCAGAGTAGAAGTATGTAAAGATTCTAGTACTTGTATTTATCTAGTCTGTGCTGTAGGTTGTATTTACTTGCATTATCACTCTGTAACAACTAAAGATAATACAGTGAGTGTTTTGTGGAAATGTTGCACTATTTCCTTTTTATGGCTTTTATTTAGCCTCGAGTGAATGCAGTTACATATAGAGAAATGTGTATCCCCCATACTGAGTTTTTTTCAGGGTTTTTAATCAGACAATGGTATCAGCAGTTCATACTACTGAGCCTTATCTCCAGTGTTGTCAGCACAGTGACCTGCAATAACATGATCCTTGTGGAAGTAGAGGACTTTACATAGCTAAAAGAAACATGGCTTTAGAAGAGGTAATTTAAGATAAAAAGATGGACTGAATGGGTGCTTCTGAATTGTTGCCTACTGTAGTGAGGCTGACCTAAGTGTTCTCTGTATTAAGTTCCTTCCTGTCTTGTTGGAGGACTTGATGTTGCATTTCTTGAAGTTAAGCCTGTGGTTTGACGCCGTAGGGACTTGAAGATGAAAGCTGTGAGAGAGAGGTCTTACACTTCCCAGAGTACTGTCACAGCGTGCAGATGTGGTGGTGCTCAGTGGACTGGCCCAGGTTTTTAAAAACTGTCTTAACAAAAAAGCTACCATCTTCTGAGGCTGTATTTTTTACTCAGTTAATAGTGTAGCTCCACAAACAGCCTTGTGTGTACAATTGGAGAGGTGGTATGAACCCCTAAGCTGCTTGAAGCCTCTGTACTGTCAAGCCAGAATCTTCCCGAACAGTACATATATACCTATAGGGACCTGATGGATGATGTGAAGGAGGATTTCTTTTGTTACTAATGCTGTAAAAATCCTAATGTCATTAAATCATAGCCAAGATACAAGACTTTTTGTCTTGTGTCTGTCCTTGTTGGCAGGACCAAATGTGAACATGCCGTGGCTGTTCTGAATAGGCAGGAATAATTTAGATAAAATTTCTGCGTGTAGGTATAACAGTTGGCCAAAATAGAAAGGGTCATTCATATTTTTCCTCTTCTTATAAGAAAAGAGAATGATTATAAAAAATAAATCTATGACTGAATATATGAAATTTAAATGTTATTTTACTAAGGTCAGGACAGATGAACCCAAAGCTCCTAAAATGAAAATCACAACCTTTGTTCTGGCTCTGTTTGTTTGTTTACCTCGATTCTTCAACCGTATTTTTCTGTAAGTACCAATAGTAGTTTGTGCAGAAAGCTACACCACGGAAATACTGAATTTTCAGTTAAAGTGCTGGCAAAGGCACATCAGGTTTGCTCATGCATTTATGAACGTTCAGTTTGTGCACTATGTAAAAAGGATATTGAACCGCAAGTTAGATTTTTTTTTTCTTTATTATTTGGATGTACAGAGCCACGAAGCGGTTTGCGGGCTTGGTGTGGGGCTCGGTGAGGAGCTGAGGCGATTTTGGCCGCTGGGCGGGCGAGGGGCCGGTGAGGTTGCGCGCTGCCGGCCTGAGGGGAGCCGCCGCCAGGGGGCGCTGCGAGCCCGCCTCGTGTCGGGGCCGCGGCCGGAGGGGCTGCGGCGGGGCGGCCGCCCCTGCCCGTCCCTGCCCTTCTCCTCCATTCCCCTCCTTTCTCTCCCTTTCCTTTCCCCTCCTTTCTCTTCTTTCCCTTCCCCTCCTTTCCCTTTCCCGTGCGGAGGTGCCCGCTGAGGAGAGCGGGGGGCCCCGGGGGGCTTCCCTGCTGCTGGGGCTGCGTCCCCTGGGACGGGGCCGTTCTGGGGCTTGCTCCCCGAAACGCTGTGTTTGTCGCCCTTCTGGGGCTGAAAATTGATTTTTAATGCTTCAGCAGCACATAAATCCTTCTGTTCAACATCTAGCGTTGTATCAAAACACAGAAATCATTTCACTCTTTAAAGCCACAGATGTTAAAATTATATTTTCAGTCCGCTCCCATTAAGACTTCCCTGCGAAAGGAGGCAGTGCAATTTTGCCTGTAAGCACAGACGCACCGTGCTATCCTTTATCTGATCTTACACAAACTGCGTGACACTTTTCCTTGAGTGAGTTTAAACACGCAAACCTTACGGCTGCCGACGTCCTGACAGCTTCAGTCGGTTTGATTTCTGCAAGCCACATACGCGGTGGATATTATTACCGCCCCTAAAAAAAAAAACCTCTAGCTGCTTGTAGTTACGCTGAAATTTACTGAAAATTAAGCTTTCGAATGCTCATTTGGTAGTCTGAAAAAGGAGGTTAGAGAAGCATCTCTTTTAAGCGAGTAATTTGTTAGGAGCTTGCTGCAGGCAGCTGTCTTTTAGCAGCACTAAAATGAGCTGGAAGATTTGTATCCACCTAAATTTTGCGTTCAAGTATTTCTCGAGGTGCAAGTTTTGAACTTAAAGTCAAAAGATTTTTCTTCGTGCTTTGTGTGCTCTTAACTGTGTTCTTTATTTATAATCACGATATACAATTGTTTGGTTTGCTAGATGAATATTTCATATAGCTTCAACACTTGCAGAAATGCAGCAATTTTGATGTAGTCAGCAATATGAAAGCCCAATTTCTCTTTCTTATTCTCTTCAATTTAGGTAAAATACTGCAAATGACAGATTCTGAATTTGATTTTTCTTGCTAATGCAATAGGCTCAACTCTAACTAAAGAAATCAAATTGTACAGAAGAGGATAAGCAAATAAAAATATTAAAAATCTACATATATTTTTTTTTAATTTCAGGTATTAGTTTAGTTTATGAATTTCATGTTAGTCATTTGAAAATATTCAGCCTTATGCTCCATGTTTGTTAGGGGAGAAAAAATGTACAGGTTATTTTCCCTGACTACTCAGAAGGTATTTTCAACTCATTTTTGATGAGTATAGAGTCTGAAGGTTATTTTGATTTCTACAAATTCATTTAATGTATTATTTGTTCAGTTTTGGGTATATGCAAACTTAATGTGAAAGCATCATATATTCTTCCACGCTTCAGATCACCCAGATACAAATGACCTCATGTTTATATTTTATCATTAATTTGTTGAAATATTGTGGTAAAGAATATCTACTGTGTTAGTTTCTACTGCAAGCAGAGTCCCGGCTAATTCTTGTAGCTGCTTTACTACAGATCCATTTATGAAACAATATTACTCCGAACATATGGCAAGGGTGAAACTTGCTTTTTTTTTCTTAGCAAACATTTTAATTTCGCTGTACCATGAAAAAAGTCTGGATATAGCCATTTGTTTTTTAGGAGATTTTTTTTCAGGCAGTTGCTAGAACATACAGAAATCCTGGTAGACAGGCTTGTAGTCATCTATCAAACAGAGGTAGGCGCCTTCCTGGGTGCCGAAAAGTTAAGAAAGCAGCAGTTTTAGGCTACCTGTGTGTTTGGTGGAAACAGAAACAGAACTTCATCCAGAAGAAAACCCAGACCCTGTGAAGACAGCGGTGTCCATTGTGGTAAAACTTTCTGCTTCATCTTTGATTATGAATCTTTGGTCTTAGACAAGGTGCTTCAGGAGTGGAAATTTCCATTCATTTAGACTGCCTGGATTGCTCTATCTCTACTTTGTGCATGGTCTCCAGCAGGTCCTTTCTTAAGAGACTGAATTTTCATGGTCCCTGTGTTGCCATGTGCCTTTGGCTAGTTATTTTGACTCTCAGCTCATTTGTTCTTTTGGTAACACTTCTCCCAGTGCGTCTGGACCAAAAGGAAGAGAATGATCTTTTAACACCTTCTTGCCTCTTTCCATTCCCCCCTCCCCTTTCCTTTTCTGCTAATGCAAGTATTTAGCCATTTCCTTCCCCAAAGAATGCTGTAATAAACTTGAGGGAGCTGAAGAAAAGCACAGCAAACGGCACAAACCCCATGTGCCAAGATCTTATTCCAAGAGTCAAAATAAAGGAAACGCAGGTAGTTCTTTTGAGCAACCATTCGAAGCAAGAAATCTCGGGTAAAAAAAATAAAAATAAATGAAAATGGGTTGAAATAATTATTAGCAGTAAATATAAAACAAAAGGTCTTTTTTTAGGTATCTTCCTTATCAGATGTATTCTGTTTTGTGGCCAGACACAAGTGCTGATGTTCTGAATTTACTACCTAAAATAGATGCTTTTTCCTGAAAACAAGAGCGTTGTTGGGGACATAATTTGCATAATTCAAAAAAAAAAATGGAAAAACGCATTGAACAGTGGATTTCTTGCAGAAATTGTATGTAACTTCTGCATGAAACTTTTTTTTTGAGCTGACAGTTGCGTCTTGCAACAGCTTAAACTGGCAGCGGTCCCTGCAGGCAGGTAGGAGTGCACTCAGTGATGCTTCCCTCTCCTGCTCTCAGGCTGGTGTGTGGTGGTGGGTGGCTGTGCTTTGAACCCCACGGGTGCTGAGAGGTTGCTGAGCGGTGAGGCTGGGAACAGCACTCGGGGCGAACAGAAACAACGTGAATCCCTCCAGTTTGGGGGCTGTCAGAATGGTAGCTTTTTATATGAACTTCATTATTCTATAACTTTTTTTTCCCTGAGGAATACACTTTTTATCTTGCATTGCAACAGAGTCATCGTAATCTTTTTTTAAAGATCAGCAAGGATGTTTTAGTGAGCAGGAAATGGCATCAGTTCTTGTTTCTCGCTTAATAATGTTTTATGGATTTTCCACGACTGCATAATCTAGAAAAATTAAATAGTGTTATTCTTTTCTGGAAAAAAATCATAAGTTGTCAACGTATAAACTCCATTAAATCCACATTATGCCATTTCTGTGTATAGTGTTTGTATTTCTTAATAGACTAAGATGTGTTACTGGCCCAAGGTTCAGTACCAAATCTTGAATTGAATCCTTGAGCAATAGACTTGGTTGAAATCTGTCTTCCTAATGGGAAACCTGCTGACGTGCTGGACTTGAAGGGATAAGAAATCAATTCAAAGATTACTGAACTTAAATGATTTTCTGGAGAAATATCAGCCTTTGATAGAAAGGAGAAAAATCCTCAGAGCATAGATCTATATTTTATCATTATTTGTGATTAATAAATTCTATTAAACCCAGTGGTGCAATCAAAAATATGTGGAGGAAACGGGAAGAGCTCAAACTTAGCAAATCTTACTTAGTGCTGTAGTCTGAGTCAATGTGCAGAATCTTTATAATGACAAAATTAGGGAAGTAAAAATTTATTTTAAAACTGTACTAAGAATGACCTGGGGGTGCATAGCTGCAGATATAATAGTTAATGGTAAATGTATATAACTTCTCATCAGCTGTGCGTACAAAATTACCCTTATTGGAGATAAGGTTGTTCCTGCCCATCAAACCTAAAGACATTTGCTTTGTTTTGGTTTGTGGTGTGTTGGTTGAGAAGTTTCTATAGTACACAGCTTGTCTTTTGTTTCGCTGTTTGCTGAATACACAGTTTGATTTCTTTTATTGGATTACATGCCTGAGTTCAGCATAAATTCATGCAGTAGAAAAATCCACATTAAAATAGATTGTTTACTCTTCAGTAAAATGCTCGTGCATTTTTGTAGGTCTAGTATGATATCCTCAGTGCAGATATTTATAGCTGACATGCAGCATTGTGGAGCTTTATTCAATAATAGAAATGGAAACATTTCTTAAAACTTTTTTTTAGGGGAAAAAAAGGCATGTTCTTTGTGCGATATATTTAGGTCATAAGGGACATCTGCTAAGGATAATTTTTTTAACACTTGCTAACAATCCTAATATAATATGGCCTATTCATCAGTCATATTGTTCCTGACTTGGCTGGTGTGGATTTTAGTGATTCCCGATGTGCATTCAGACTCTCTTAATTGCTAGTTTCTCGCTGTTCTATCTTATTGTTTTGGAGGACAATGCATAAACGGGCGCAGAATAATCAAAATGGTTTCCCTGGCCATATTAGGCACCTAACAGAGAGATACTTACTGTGTGTGTGTGTTTGCAAGTGGAAGTCTTACTGAAACAAAGTAAATCTTAATGTGGAAATGAAGATTTGAATTCTCTCTTCATTCAGTGTGTGTGTTTATAAGCAAATAACTCTGGATACATCTTGGAGCTTTTACAGCTTGCATTTATGCAGGAGAGAAATTAGAGGGGTAAGGTAGGGAGACAGAACAGACACTGAACTTCGGGAATTTAGGGTTCTTGATAACCTGTTATATTGTGCCAGTTTGGTGCCTTTGATTTAGAAGGGAAAGCTTGTTTGGAGATCTTTGTGCTGTAACTGAGATCTAATCTTACATTTGCATGAAGCCAGAATTGCATTCGGCTGCAAGGCATTTGACTCCTCAAGAGGTGCGGGTAATATTCCTCCAGCTTGCACGCACAAGACGAATAGCGAGATGGGCAACGCGAGGCTGAGTTGTTGGGGGGGGAGAGGTTATGGCAGGCTTCTGTGTTTTAGGTTTTAACATCAGTGAAAGAGGAAAAAAGGACCAGCTGAAAGACTGGCAAAATTCCTGAGAGGTCCTTGCAATTTGACTTCCCCATGTAAATGGAAATACATCTTCCCACCATTTTTTTCTTTTGCGTGTGCAAAAATCTTGGTTTTTAGTGGTTCATATTGCTCTGTACTGTGGACTCACTTACTGATAAATTAATACCTGATGCTTTAGGGTAATCTTTCTAATTATTGAGTGTTTTATCTTAATCCAGTTTCTGTAACTCTCAACTGTTTTTGATAGTGAAGGAACAAAAGCAGAAATCAGGGCTTTTATAGTAAGCTGGGGGAAGCTTTCTTTATAGCTTGCTTCAGGTGTTGAATCTCTTTTTAAGTCTTATCCCTCTGATTTTGGGAGGAAACAAAAGGACTTCATTTGCTAGATTTGTCACACATCTTTAATCAGGTGGCTTAGCCAAGCACAACAGGTCATCTTTTAAAATCCCACATAGCTGCAAAACATGAAAGTACTTTTTTTAATAGTTCCTTAGGTGATTTTTAGTTCTGCTTTAACAAGACATGTTTAATAAAATGGGTTTGGGCTATTAAAGTAGTAACAGTGATTGGAAATAAATCAGCTTGTGACTGTTCAGCCACTTGCTGAGTATACTTGAAAGACCATGGTGTAGGCAAATGTTGATTTTATTCCGAGTCGAAATCCGTAGCTACGTAGCTTAATTAAATAATTTTACTAGACTTGATAGTTATTCTCTGTATGAAATAGTTTAAAATTTGATTCATCCATGCACTGCTGATTAAAAACAGTTTGGTAAAAGCTTCGTGTAAACTGCTTTAGTTAAAGCGTGCTTTCTGCTTAAGCTGTGCGTTTCACAGAGCTGCTGATTTTCTGCGGCTGCAGTCGGGGAGAAAGGAGCGAGGGAAGACGGCTTGAAAAGGAAATTGAAGACGCTGTTGTAAGAATGCAGTTTGGACACTGGGTGCCACTCCTGGTACACACAGAGGCTGGAAAGCCTTCCTCGTGCAGTGAAACAACGAGTGCTCTTAAAAATGGAGGTCTCTTATGCTCATAAAATTCTGAAGGTCTCTGTCCTCTGAGCCAAGAGGTTCATCTGGTTGGAAAAACATATTCTTCAGTCCTGCGAGGAGTAACTAAAGCTTACAAGGGCAAGGCTTTTTTTTATTTCTTCTGTCATCATGCTGGGGATGATTTTCTGGACTTGATGTCTTGCTATCTAGTTACATAGCTTCCATCATGTGCAAGAAAGACAAGATTACAGCACCAAGTGTTCAGGAATAGGGGAACTAAACCAAATACAACAATTCTCCTCAGAAATAGGAAGAGGAATTTGGAAGTAAAGTACGAATGAAATGCCTCCCTCAAATTTTATCATCTTTGTGTTATTTTTTTCATAGGCTTATTGCTGTTAAAAGAGTACAGTGTTAAAAACAATCATGAGGTGGTATGCTGCTGGTGGAAAACTGCATTGAAGGAGACCGTGAAGAATGGGTTAGGGGTTGATCAGCTTACAGAAACTAGGGTTGGGCATATAAAGATCCTTTTCAATAAGCACCAAGTGCTAAAGGTAAGAGGAGTGAGGAGATGTGTGCAGATGTAAACTGGAAGAAGGTTACAGCTCCTGTCCTGAAAGCCGTGGAGCTCAAGCTGGGAAGCGCAGCGTGATTAATGCCTGACTGTGCTCGTGCCTGGAGGCATCTGCTGGCTCCGGGTGTCCTGAACGTTGTACAAACACATACGTGCTCAAACCATTCAGAAATGACACGGGAGTGGAGGTGGCCAGGACTCCTGGTGGAATACTGGCCTGTCGGTAACTGGCTAATTCGGAAACAGAAATTTCAGTAGTACTGACAGGTAAATGGGGGGGTTTAGAAGGCTAAATGGCACAGCATTAAAAAAAAAAAAAAAAAGTTAGACTTCTAAACCCATTTTCCACACAAAAATTTTACTCGCTGTCTTGTTTGAAAAGGATTTGAAATAGTGGGTCAGAAATTAAAATGTGCATGGAAGGGGGGGAGGAAGGCAAGACACTACTTGAAATAATGAATTGCAGGGTGAGGGATGAGGGAGTTCTTTGTGAAATTTTACTTTGATACAATTATGCAGAATTAAAAGCAAAAAGTCCCTCCATCCTCAAATGTAGAAATTCGAGCTTTTGGTTTCGCTTTTCAGAATGACATTTGCAAATGGGCTCGTGTTACTCAGTGCTCCAGTCTGTGCTGTTTGAACCTTCCAAGCCACTTACAGTGATGTTCCAAGTGAGAAATTAATCGATGCATTTGGATGCATAAAGCACAAAGCTAAAAATTTCAGATTGTCCTATTTCTTTTGTGTGCTTGCTGTCAGAGGTTATATTCTTCCTGTTAAAATCTTAAAAGTTTAAAATGAAACTTGTAAGTGAAGTCTCAAAGTTGCCATTATTTTTTGGGGACTTCCCAGGACAAGCACAGTGGCCCGTCAAAGCTATGGCAAGCGTGAGTCATTTGGTACATCTTTTGCAATTAGCTTAGCTTTATGTAGATAGTGAATAATACAAAGCCACATTGGCTTCTGTAATTTTGCCAACTGTGGCAAAAAGTATGACTTTAAAATAAGTTTGTTTCTGAGACCTCCTTATCAAAATATACCAGATACATAAGCAGAGCCAGAAATGAAGGAATTGGCAGCAAACCTTCTGTTGACACCTGGAAGTTTAATAAATGGACCAATTGAAATTAGGAATACGGTGGGCGATAAGCTGGAGCCACCTGGGTTTTATGGGCTACTTGATGCTTTGATTGCAACTTTGTTTGGAGTTATCCATTTATATTGTCAGTGTTCCTTGTCGCTGCTGTGTTTTCTATTTTAATCTCACACAATAGGAAGGATTAGAAAAAGCAAGGCACTACTCAGACCAGAAATGGGTGTGGAAAGATGCTCTTTCAGCGTGCCCACCTCAGAACAAAGCCATTTGTAGGACAAAACATGGGATTGGAAGGAGGAGCAGCAGATAGCTTTCAGCTGGGCGTCCCCTGCATCAGGCCATGAAGAGCATCCTAATACGCTCTGAGAGCTCAAGGGGGCTGTGAGCAGGCAGGATTTCCGTGCTGCCATTTGGGTGGAGGGCTTAGTGGGGCCGGCCGTAGCGGTGTGCTTGTGTTGGCACTCTGTGCCCGGTCCCTTAGGGGCTGGGGTGAACAAGAGTAGCTGCAGAGCTTTGTCTCAAGTGGTTGTGCAGCTCATCAACACACTGAGGGTCCTGGTCCAGCTTCAGGTTCTATTTCTGCACTCTGTGTGATGTTGGCATGCTCCTTGTTGCTTTTTCTTTGTTTTCCCTTCACTTATTTAGCTAAGTCTAACATGAAGGAAAGGATGCTTAAGTCCATTTGGTAACAAATTCATAAAAACGATCCATTTTCCCAACTTGAATATGGGAAATACCTGTCTTTATCCTTTCCCTTAATGTTTTTTGATGCAGTTTTAGGGAGATGAAATAAAACCTTCACTATACCCTAAACACCTAGGTGGCTGTAACTTTCTGAGGCTTTGCTGACTGGCAGAGCTCTGAGAACCACCTTGTTTGATAGCATCTGTACATTTGGGAATGGATACCTAAGAATATTATTCAGACTCAAACTCAGCAAGAAAAGTAGCATTGTTGATCAGGTACTCAGCACTGTTACTAAAAAAAAAAAAGCTAAGAGGATGATAGCTGATGTTTCATGCTAAGGATAATGATAATTCTCAACTGGAATTTGGTTTGGTTCTCTTGGGTCTTTGGGATCTTTGCAGCAGACAGCGAAAGGATGCTTGGTTGGCTCCAGTAAGGAAAAGGTTTCTACAAAAGGAAAAAAAAAAAGCTGCTGCATGTCCAAGATAGCAACAACAAAAAGCAGTGGGTTTAATTTTTGTTAAGGGAGGGGTAGAGGAGTTGCAAGGAGGAGCGCTGTAAGGACGGTGCAACATGACAGTGCGCTGAAGGAGGTGGGTAGGGCAGAGTTAGCCAAACCCTCACCAGAAACAAGAGTTAGCTGTACCAAAATGGGATGAAACGGGTATCAAACGACTTGCAGCTCTGTCCCTATGATCTTGCTATTCTATTCTATTTATCCTGAGTTTGAAAGATCTTAAATTACTTTTAAACTTTTCAAATCTATGCCTTTTAACATCTGTAATGTGATCAACTTGTGTGGTAATCTTTTCCATACCCTCCCACCCCCGTGTGCTCCTCTGCCTTTGTACAGCAAGTGATGGGAATGTAGCTCGATTTCACTGAAAATATTTGGTGTCCTGAAATGGAAAACTCTGCGTAGTGTGAAAGTTTCTCAAGCTATATTTCAAGTATCTCTGAATAATACAAAGAAATAATGCTTCACTTTTTATTTGGCGTTTCACTCAGTTGTATATGTTGCAGGGTTTTCCCTTTTGACACAGAGGAATGCAGTTGATGTGAACATGGTAAATAGAGTATAATGTCCTAATGACTTTGCGATACAGTACATGAGAAAATAATGGGTCATTTGGGGAGGATTATTTTAGCATGTGTGGGGGAAATATGGTAAAATCACCCCCCTTACTAAAAAAAAAAAAAAGATCATGTATTGTTTTTCTGTTGCCTGTTTACACAGAAGTTAAAGCTGTATGTAGTTTTCCTTTATCGTGTTTAGTAACTTGAATGTAAAACTCAAGTTCATTAAATACATGCAACTGTTTCACTAATCCATGTTTTTTCTTTCAGAGCAAGTTTAGTTTTGAGGCTAATTTTTAAATGAGTTTGAATGTCATTTCTTGCATTCAAAGCAGTGCTGCAGTCCCAGCATTTTCAGCTTATACACATGCAGTGTGTACATGCAGCCAGCTTGTTTATTTCCTGTCTCCTTCCTTCAGAAATTCACGTGGTTATTATAGTCTGATTTGCTTGCAAGGCTTAAGCAAATCTCTTTCCACACGTGTCCACGGAAGGTGCTGGGCTGGCTCTGGTGGCCCTAGATCCTCTCGCCTGTGCTTAGTGCGTGCTGTGGGTGGCAGATCCCAGGTAAACCTGGGGAGGTCCGTGACCGACTGCGGGACCCGCACTGACTCGTGCAATGCCTCTGCTTCTCTGAGTGCTTAAACATGACACAATGCTTAACGCTATGTACATAAATAAATTGAGCAAATAAAAATCATCCTCTGTTTGCTTTCATCTTCGTGTCAAAGCCAAGTATGAATACACACGCCCGTCCCCTTTTACTGTCTTATGTCAGCTACACAAGAGGCACAGACTTGTGCTGTATTCGAAGCCTTTCTGCCATGTGTGTGTTTAGCTATGGAAACCAGTTGTTTAACAGATTTGTTTCTTGTAAGCCTGGGTAGGTTATTTACTGGATATTAGTTACTTTTACGAGCACACTTTTGTGTAAGCCGTTAGTAGGAAACATGCTGCCAAATTTTGGTCTTTTGACTCAGGTAGACTTTTTCTTGTAGGCTATTTCTTGATTTGCTTTCCTAGTAAAGTCTTGCAGATCTTTGGCTCAGATAAAAGCCCTTCCCCACTTCTTGAAAATGACAGGAAACTGTTAAGGGAATGAAGTATCTTGCACTCTCGTGAAAGGTAACGATCATACCACAATAAAACACGATCATCTTTCCTGGTATTGTCAAGAAGCACTAAAATGTTTAAAGAATTGTAGGCACAGCTAAATAACTGAAGCTTTCATTAAATTTACTTACTAATGTTAATTGTATTTTGTCTGTAAATCAATTCAAAGCCTTCCAAATTAACAAACGATCACTTATGTTAGGTAGGAATAGAGTTAATGTATTGTGACACGAGCAACATAACAGATCAGGTGTTTTTAAATACTTCAGCAGTCCTTTAATTAAAAATGTATTAAATACTCAGAAATGCAGTCAGTATTTTTCTTGCAGAATACTTTTCTTCTGCAGTAAGGGCTTCTGTAAATGTATATGCGTGTTCCTTTTTGTTTCTGCATGGCAGAAAGGTGTATAGCGCACTGAACATCTATAAAACGCTGTTGCTGTTGGCTCCATGGAAAGGGAAAAACATTCAAAAGAGATTTGGAAGAAGAGAATGGAAATGGACTTCTGCTTCAGGCTTGGGGAATGGCAAAGCGTTTCTGAGCTGTTGGAAGAGAAAAAAAAAAAAAGAAGGCTTTGTTTATACAACTAAATCAGAAGTCAGAGCTCTAGTGCATGCAGAACTGAAGTGTATTTAGCTGGTGTCGTGGAACTTTGATCATCACCATGGTTTGTTTTGCACTTCCTTGGTAGTGCCCCATCGGGCTGTCTTTGAGTCGGCTTCCTTGTCATCGTGTCACCCACACGCGCAGGCTCTGAAACTGTGGCTCTTCCATCCTATCTGGAACCTTACAAAATGCTGCATTTTCTTTAACTTCCTGAAGTGAGTTGCTTTTTCTTCTGTCTTTTCTGTAGAACACCACTTTGTGCTAAATTCATTTTCACTGGCACCTCCTTCCCAAAGTCTCTCCCATCTCCCATCCGAATGATGGCACGAGGGTAATAGCTGATTAACGGCTATCTTCTGCTCTCTCCTTGATCTTTCTCTTTCCTTCCCCCTGCTTCTCCTTTAACGCAGAGCAGATTTGCCCTCGCTTGCACTGCTGCTCTTTTTTTCCCTGCACTTCCTCCTTTGAAACCGTTTTCTCTGTCTGATACCCTGACCTGTTGGCCAGGCTGATAAAAGCTCCTTTTGCTGCACTGTCCCTTTGGCTGCCTCTGCTGGATCCATATCACTGGTGAATCTCGACTGCGAATTTTCCAGTGCTTATTTCTTGCCTGCTCCTACCTCCAGATCATTTCATTAATTTAGAAGGAAATCATCTTCAAATATATTATTTAAAAAACATTACGATGAATGAAGTGCAAGTGTTAAAACTGGTTCTAGACCCAAGGTGCAGCCTGAAAGTATGCAATTAAAAGCCAAACTTACAAAGATGGCCAGTGATCCTTGTGCTCCCCCTACGCTACAGCTTTTATACGAGCTTGATGGCATCTGGCAGCATCTCCCTTACATGCAGCTGACAGAAGTTTCATGGCTCTCCTCGCCTTGCAGCTGAAACCCTGCTGTCTGTGTGCAGCGTGCAGGCTGCGTGTTGGGGCATTCAACCCGAAGCTGCAGATCTCCTGAACCGAATGCCCTCTTTTATGCAGCGAGGGGTAGGTAGCCGAACCACAAAAGTGCACTGTGTCTAAGATGTCTGCTGCGGGGCACCTCGCCAGCTGGTGTAGTAGGGAGTTTAAATGGTTGTAAAGCTGCCAACACGAGGTATAAGGTGGGATAAGAGAATGATTTGTACCTAGAGTGTGAGATTAATACCCTGCACTTGCATAGCACCTTTCATTTGAGGATCTTGGCACACTTTATGATCAGTTAATTGCCTCATAACCTCTCTGTGAGGTAAACTATCACTAGTTTACAGTCAAAGAAAACTGATGCATAGAAGAATTTAAGTAACTTCTTTAGGATGCCTGGGTAGTTGGGGGAGAAACGTGAAGTTTTTCTCTCGCTAATTCTGGAATGCCAAACATCACGGTGTTTAATTTCCCTAAACAAAAGGCAATAACTTACCCTCACTTTCTTATTCCTCCAGCTCTTCGGCTGTGTGGGCTCCTTTTCTATGCTTTTTCCCCCCTCTGTGCTCCTTTGAACTGTGGTCTTCCAGGTGGCAACTGAAGGGAGCTGCTGGAAGGGGAAACCAAGCGCGCTTTTAGCCGTGAGTTACAAGCACTGCAGCTCACTAAAAAAGTCTTTTTGAAACCCTGAAGAGCGGAGTTTTGCCATGAAACAACTTCGAATCTTTTTGCTTTCTTCCCCTTCTCAGCATACAGGTGGCTCAGAGCCTCCCGGTTTGTTTCCCCTTGTTCTCGCCACTTTGAGAGGTGATCAAACAGAAAGCAGCGGTGCCTGAGTTACCCTGCTCCTTCGCCAGGCTGCGGGCGAGGGTCTGGCAGCTGACGGTGAGGCAGGGCTTTGTCTCTGCTAGACCTTGCAGGCATCAAGTCATGGCAGCGTTATTCAGCATAGGAACGCACCTCTCCATGCTCCAAAGAAAACAATTTTTGCAGTTAGTTTGTTCCTAATTGGCCTTTTCCACCTGAGGAATAAAGCAATCGGAGCTATCTTTTTAATTGTTTTAGCCACGCTTGTATAAAGTTCCTCGTCTATACTGGTTATAAAGACAAGACTGAAGAGAAGCTTCTATGTGCCAGGAAATAATATATGGGGTATTTAAGTTGAAGAGTTGTTGGAATATGAAAATTAAATTTGTCCTGTAGGGAAACTGTGCTACAGGCTGCATCCTTTGTAATACGTAGAGAGCGCTATCTTTAGAAACGTGACTGAGTACAGTAATGCTTAAGATAGACGAGTGCCTAAAAACGTTTGGAGCGGTGACAGTTTTTATTTTGGTTCGAAGTGCACGTGGATAAAAGCTGGCCACTCGCCCCGCTCCCCCCGTGGAACGTGATTTCCTTATTCCATGTACCAGTTCTTGTTAGTAGGGATTTTCTTCTATTTTTAAGACGCGGAGTGAGAGGTGGTGAAAGGAAGCTGGTATGAGCCATGCGCTCAATAAGCAAAACACATTTTTGAAAAACACCATATTTTTGACCTCGGCATTGGAGAAGAAAAATAAATAAGCAGGACTTTCCCTTAAGATACTGTGGACTTGACAAGCCTGATAATTGGTTTTAATCATTCATTTCAGATGCTGTTGCCTCACAAGAGAACGTTTCTTTTTTGACTACTTAATAAGTAGTAAAGCAGCTCATGTTGCAAGGCAGAATCAGAAGGTCACGTATTCAAGATAGACAAAGGTTTTTTTTTTGTGATTTATATGTATTTTTTATCCCAAACCTACTGTTTAATCGTTCTGCTTTTCTCATCTGCATCTTGTTTAAGTAAAGTTATATGGTAACTCCTCCTTGAAATAAGAGCAACTGGAGCTGAACATAATTTAACTAGGTTTTTAGAGATCTTTTCAAAAAGAAAAAATGAGATTTACAGAGCTTGTCTCTATTACTAGAGACAATTTTAGGAGCTTTTTAGGTGGTACAAAGGTGACTTGTGATTGGGAAGGTAATATGTTGTTTTCAGGGAGCAAACTCAAAAGCTTTAGAGTTCAAAAATGATCTGAGTAGTTTTGTGCTAGATGCATCTGCTGACAACATTTTTGGAAATGAGGCATTGATACCTGTGATGTACTGCAAACGTGTAATATTAACCTGCTCACTCTAGCTTATCCTACCTCCAAGTCAGCTAATTAGGGTCACATGAGGTGTGTTACACATTTTAGAGGTTTGTACGGGTACGTGTTCAAATTTGCATGAGTGATAACTGAGCAGAATTAATCCCTTGTCTTGTAATTATACCTGCAGACCTTTTGATCATAGCTGTTTTCTCCTAGTGCTTAATCGTGGCATTTCTGCATTCAGGATGTAATTAAAGAGCAGGCATTATTGGGGCACCTGTTGGTGTGAAGTTATGGTCTTCATCTGAAGAATAACACCTTTGTTTGTTTGTTTTCCTCTGTGTAGTACAAAATATATGGCATTGTGGGACTTTTATTCATTTACATGCTCCTTCTGCTTGGGGTTTCTCTCCCCCATTTGTGCATTTTTCACTGCTGCAGTGGTACTGATGCATCACCCATTTTCAGTGCTCAGTTAATTTGTCACACAGAAGATAACTGACTCTACTGGCCATAAAATTTGTTTTATTGCCAATACATTTAAACACTTCTGATTAACTTTTATTGGGGTCATTTTATTAAATTTGATGCCTGTGAGTATCATGCTGAGTTAAAGATTGCTACTTCAGATGCCACAAATTTTATTAAATTGTTATCTGAGAGCATGGTGGTTCTTTGTTCCTGGCCTGGACATCGAGTTTATTCGGAATCTGGCAAAAGAATATGTTGTTTCCTACTTTTAAATTGGTGTCATGCTAAGTCGTAGGGCCTCCCAAATGCTTTACACAATTATTTTTAAAAGATACAGGGAAAAAATAAATATGAAGAGCTCACTTAAAAGCTTGGAGGGCTCATTTGAAGAACAGCTTTATTCACTTTGCCCCTTTTACAAAGGGTTTAGAAAATAATAATGCCCAATAAAACTCAGCTTTTTGTAGGTAGTTTTACAGTTTTTGCAGGGAACAATCCATCTGACCTAGTTGAAATGCACGTTTGCTGTTTCTCTTCGCAGTGGGCTGGAAATGAAGTTTTCGGTAGTTAATGATTCAGCCCTGGAGGAGCGTGTGTGTGTGGGGGGTGGCTTTTTTCAAACCCCGAACCGGTGACTTCTAGTGCAAGTTAATTAGATTTTACCCCTAAGAAGAGTAAAATACTAGTAGGCTCACAGTGGCTCGGTATCGATTTGAAGATTATACGCTATTAATTTAGACTTTAAAAATACATCAATACATTTTCATTCTTTAAGAAGCACCTCTGCTAGAAATAGATGTTCATATTTTTATCGATAACAATTCATTTTGATGCCATGTAATGGGAGTTATATCACGAAGACTTTATGTAGGAATTAATTGGTACCATAGCAGTCAGTGGGTATTACGAAGCCCGTCCTGCTGAGGAATGGATGTGGTCCAAGCTGTTGGAACAGGCCAGCTAGGATATTAATTTTAAATAGCAAATGGGCTAGTAGGCAGTGTTTACCTACAGTTTATAGAAGGAAAAGAATGTCTTCAGAAGGCTTTTGGAGAAAATCTTAAATGGATTAGCCCAGGTAGCCAACAGGAAATAGAAAGACAAAGGAGGGCTGGCAGAACATACCAAGGAGCAGCACTTGAGGAAAGGCAGGTGATGGTTTACTACTCTTATGTTTACTCGGGAAGAGTTGCCCAGGAAAGTAAACAGGCAACGCTTAAGCAGCAGGGACAATGGAAAGAAACAGAGGGATTTAATTGGCAGAGAGAGATCACAGCAATGAGAAGAGGAGAATTTATACGTGGAGAAATAATGTGTTTACTGTGGTGCGAGCTGTAATTCGGGGTTACTGGGAGGGAAATGATTACGGGAAGTGGAATTTATCAGGCGAAGTAGTAGGCTTTTGGAGCATGGTCTTTCTGAGCATAGTCTCCTTTGTAAAGATAAAGGCTAAAAATAGGTAAGTTGATTTCCTAGATTGTAAAAAACTGAGGGATTTAATTCGGCGCATAAAAACAGCATTTGAGAAATTTGATGAACTGCATGGGAAGTGATTATTTTACCTCCGCGAGGGACCCTGTGGGCCCTCCAGTTTTTGACGCTGAGGTAAATGTGTAATTCTTTAAAATAACTCCTGCTGCTAACCTAAGTAAAGAGAGAACTTTCATATAGAAACCTAATACACGTGTTCCTTTAGTCATGCCAGCAGCGCAGCCGTGATGTTTCGTAGAGGCCTGTCTGCGGCTCCCAGTAACACAATTGCCGACCATCTGAGAGCAATGAACGCGTTTCACCATAAACCTGTAATAATCTGCTCTTCGGGAGAGAAGAGGGTAGTAATCCTTTGCCTTGTGTCACCTAATCTGATTTTTAATTCTTCAGTTACATAAACACTACAAAATCAAAATGTGGGCATCTGCTCCGGAACATTTGGTGACTTCTTTTTTTAATAACTTATTTCTATATTTGGCGTGCATCTTCTGTTAAAGATTTTTTCAGGTTTTCATAGACTAATCTCCCTTCACGTTAAACCATGTCTTTCCTTTCGTGTATTACTTTTATAAAAGGGAAGTTAATAGCTTTGAAATGCCTCATTTCTTGAGCATTAAGTAGTTTTTCACGTGAAGAAGTATGTTTTCCCCCCTCTGTTCTTTCAGAGGAACATGCTTTGTATGATTTTTTTAATTATTAAAAACACTTCATTATTGTGTGATCCATCATAGAAGACAGTGTACTTGCACCTTATGTGTGTTTATCATGAAATACAAAGGGTTTTGTACTCCATATAGATGGTAGTGAAGGTACTTGGGGTAGTGAAGGAAAGATGTTTGCTTCTACTCAAGAAAACCAGATTATTTTCTTGAGCAAGAGAGCTGTTTACACAAAATATTGTCACTTCAGGATACATACGAATTTAATGACTAGATGAATCTGTCTGAGGTGCCATCAGATGGTGGTATGTGTTTTTGGCACACCGTACTTACTAGTAGTCTGATGCTTCGGGCCAGATTTTTAGTTTAAACAGATAATTTATCTGAAGACTGGGCATGTAAATACTGCTGCCCTTCCCCCAACTCACACTTGATTTTTAAAAATTGTGTCTGAGATGTTTAACTATTGTAAAACCCACTGGAGAATGAGACCCAAGCACAGGAGAGGGACAGCATTTGAATTTTGGTCTGCCTGCTGTTTTTGGTAGGAATATCTGGTTTGATGTGAAAGTTTACAAGTAAGAAGAAACTAAATTGCTGGAAATTACGGTACCTGGATGGCCTTCAGGGAAGTCGAAAAAGAAAGAAAAACAGCTGACCAGCTAATAGATTGTATAATTTGTTATTGGAAAAAAATGAGACTTAATAGCTGTTAGAAGACAGTAGGCAATCTTACAAGCAGCTAAAGGATAATGGTTTGTAAGTCAATCCAAAATAAATAAAGCTGGTGGTTCTTACTGTGTGACACTGAAGGGGGACAAAGTGAAATCTTACATTTTTTAACGTGTTGTTTTTCTAGGTGCAATTAATTAATGACTCCTAAGTTGGTTTATTTTTTAATATAATTTGTGTAATTACAACTAATGGGAGGGAAAAAAAAGATTTTCAGTTATTTTATATAAAATTTCACAAAAGATGAGTTAAGTCTGGTAACAGCACTGGTCCTTGCAGTGGGCAGATTGAAGTAGTTTTTTGGGGGGGCAAGGAGGGGGGGGGAGAGGAGTGGGCTTTGGGTGCTTCTCTTTAGAATAAGAACAAGACCTATGCAGTTTTGCAAACTTTACCAGCCTCAGATAATTGAGGGATAGGACACTGACAAATTGATTTGACCCTCATCTCGTCACACTAAACATTTATGCTGTGAACTGAAGGATTCCTACATAACATAGGCTGCTTTGTGAGCTTTTTAAATTTACATTAAAATGATGTGTAGGTGTTTCTGGTACCTTTACTTTTTGGGTATGTGGTGACTATGGCTGCCATGAAAGTGTTGAGGAATTGCAGCCAAAGGGAGAAGTTTGCAAAACAGTAGTAAGGATAGGGTAGTAGCTTGTGAGTGTTCTTCAGCAATATATTAGAGGCCAAATTTCATCTGTGGAGACAGATCTTCCTAGGCTTGCTCCTCACGTATGAGAGGGAGAAGCTGAGTAGTTCATGGGGTGGCAGGGAAGGTCTCAGCTCCAACGTGGTCCCACACTGAGAATGTGAGCATCTGATCTGACCCTAATAAAGGCATAGCGCTGAATGCAATTGAGCAACAAATAATAAAAATAAATATTTAATGCAGTGCATAACTAACCAGTTCAATGTTCGCAGCATTGCTGGAGGAACGATTGTTTTTCATTTCAAACTTGTAAGGCAGCACGACGTTGCACCTTCACAGAAATGTGCAAGCAACGAGAAGGTGAGGTGAGATATCCCTGTATTTCGCTAGACACAGGAATTATTTCTCAAAGTATAACAAACTTTCAGTGTAACACTTCTGTTAAAATAAGGTACTAGCTTTTAAGCAAGTTCTTCCTATGTTTTAGCTGACACAGTTTGATCATTTTGCAAAAGACCCAGTGAGATCCTCCTTTAAGCACAGTTTAAACTGCAACTGCACTTACTGTTCTGGTGAAACGTAGGGGACTGTATCTGATTAGGCTTTTCATTACACACCGAAACGTGCTTTATGGATCAATAAAGGCAGATGTATTCCAAGGCGAGGGGTTTTCATGCAAAGTAGAGCTTGCTTGGATTGCAAAGAAAAGCAGTAGGGCAGGTCAGATTGAGGAGGAAGGCCAACTGGGAAGAAAAAGAAAATATACTTGCCATTTTTTTTTTTACCAGCTATGCTATTTTGAGGGACGATTGAGAGGCTTTGAGAAAAGGAGAAAAAGTAATTTAGCCTGTTGGTATAAGGCCTGAGCTGGTGAAGTAGTGTTTGTTCAGTAGGAAGATGCTTTAAGATGTCACATCTCTAGGAAGGCACAGAGCGCTGACTGGTGCTCTGGGAAATCTCATGCTGTTACGATCATATCTGAAGCCATCAAACTCAGTTTGGGTACTTGATCCTGCATTTGCTGCAGAATTATATATATATGCTTCAATCCTTTTAATTGTTTTGCTATTTTACCAGTCTCCCAAGGATAGAAATCTGTAATAGGAAAAATGAGAAATGCAATTCAGCGGCAGTTTAAGCAGTCATCTTCGTGATTCATCTTGTCTGCATAGGCTTCTGCAGGAGGGGAGGATGTTTTCTTTGATTCCTGTCCTGACTTATTTCATGCAGTTCTTGATTGGTCATAGGGTGAAATACAATGTGCACCATTATTTTCTCTGCCCAATTTGATCCTACTTGACCTGCTGACAGCACCACAAAACTGTATGAGGGTGAGTGGTTGGATGCACTGAGGGATCAGGAGAAGAGGCAGAATGGCTTAAAGCAAGGTACGTCAATGTTTTGGAGCCCTGAAATTCTCCTTGGCTGCTTAAATTTTCAGAGCAACTATTTCCTATTAATTTATCTAAAAACACCCAAATCAGAAATGCTACTTCCAAGCTGTAGACCTGGAGAACTAACAAAGTCTTCTAGTGCATGGGTTTCTATTTCAAGCAGTATTGGAGCTGTCCTTTATCATTAGAGCACTTTCTGTATTAATACACACTACCCCCAGAATACCTGCTCTAGTTGACAAAGCAATTGCTTACTCTTTGCACAGAAGAGTTTTTTATTTTTACAGAAAAGATTTATTCCTTCAGAATTCTGACACTCCTTTTTAATAATTCGCTGCATAAATCCTGCATCTGTATGTAGGGCACTGAATACAGAATTGTCCTCCTTTACATTTTAAACTGTAGTGAATTATAGTTTTAAGTTAACGTCACAGGCCTTTTGTTTTGAGTTTTACAATCCTTTTTTCAATTTCTCATGTGCAAAACAAATTAAGGCCGTGCGTATATATTATCTGATTAATTCTGTAAGTTTCGGATTACTTTAAATAATTACGCTATTTTTTTTCTTGCGACTTCCCCAAATTGGTTATAGTTCTTGTTAAGCTTCATATTACCAGTCGAGCAGATCACTTTATTGCACTGCCATTTCTGAAGCAAATGAGCGTTGTTACAGGGAGGCTTTTGTAGGTAATGTTTAATTTCGATGTGTTCTTACAGCAGTCTCTGGGCTGTTAGATTTTGTAATTCAAGCGTCTGTCATTCAGAGCTCGCTCCCTGGCAAAGTAAATCTTAGGTAACAGAGGCGTTTATATTGCGGCCTGGAAGCAGTAGTGTATTGATTAAGTTGGATGGTTTGGAGAACGGTAAATTAACCATAGCATGTAATTTACCCCTTCTTTGTTATTCTAGTAGGACAAGGGGTTTTGTCTGATGTATACAAAAAAAAATAAAAACGGGCTGTTTCTGGTTCCAGTACTTGTTATTCTGGAAGGAGTGATTTGTTGTCTGCAGGTGAACTTCCACAGGACGTGCAATCTCATCTCCCAGCCCAGGGTGGGAACCCTGCCGTTCCTCTGCGCACTTGGCTGCCTGCTCCTGCCTCCTCCCTTGCGTAGGATCGGGCGATTGCGTGACCGCAGACTGACTCAGATGGGTTTGTTGATCCGCCGGAGAAGGAATCCAACAAGTTGATGCAGCTCATGTAGCTGGAGGAAGAGGCGGAATGAGTAGGGACCACCCATTTTAGCAGTAATTGGTGGTAAATAGGATTGAGCGTAACATGCAACAATATCAGTTTTGTTCCTGGCTTATTTATTTGTTGTCTGTTAACACAGTGCGGAGTTTATCATAAAGGGATTGAGAGATCTAAATGCTACTGGGGTGACTTGTTTTTCTTTTAGCTAAATATCTAGATAATGCATTAACTACTGTTGTTCAGAAATAAGTTTGAGCAAAATATCATATCACAGGCAGAGACACATCTGTCAGACCATGCAGAAAACCTGAGCAGTTATGTTTGTCATTAAGGAGAGAACTAAATTTGAACTCGCTGACAGGTTTGCCAAGTATGGATCTTATATGATACTTACCATGAGATTCCTCCAAACTGCTCTACATGGACAAGGCGCTGTAAGCAGATAATGATTTATAGACCCTAGCGTACCAATTTCATACGGGTGCCTTTGTCAGAATAACATTTTTCTCATTTGTACTTTTAACAGCTGATCGTAGTTACAAAAGGCTTTTGCATCACTCTTGTCTTCAAAGTGTTTCAAAGATGCATTGCAAGGTAGACTATTTGCAACAGTTATTTGGAACAGAAGTTGAATCTTGCTTTTCTTTTTTTTAAAGCCAAATAAACTCAAGCTGCCCTCCTCCTGCCCCCCGGCTTGCTTTGTCAGAGGTGGTCCCTTTCTTTATCCGTTCTTCCTCTGGAACCTTTCAGCACGTTTCTGCAGGGTGTCAAGGAGCAGGACACGAGCCTAATATCAACACCTAATAATTTGGTATGCTTGGTATCACAGCTCTATTTCTGCATGATAGATTCTTGGTATCGTGCATGATTTATGTCATGACACTACTGGCTTATCCACATATCTTCCATGGCCAGTTCTTAATCTCTGTTTTCCCTAGTTGATCACGTTACATTCATCTGTTCCTTGTTTTTGTCTCCTGTCTTGCATTAAGTACATGTAAAATTTCTCGATTAGTATAATGCAGGCTGTTATGCAAAGGTAAGTAGGAGAGGAGGGCCTTGTACGGAGAGAGGTCACTGCAGCAATTTGTGTTAACGTGTGGTCTGTTCAGTGGAAAAGTTTTGGTGTTCCTGTGATGGCATTAAACATTTTAATCATGTTCATTTCTACTGTGAAACTTTTATCCAGGAAAAATAAGTTTGGGTCTGGATATCGTTTCTTCATCGTCTAAGTTGGACTAACAAAATGCCCACTAGAGTATTTATTCTTCTGATTTTTGTCCCAGGCTTGATGTTAGAATTGTTTAGTGACCAAGCTCTGTTTCCACTGTCAGTAATGTTCCTACCATTTATAACACTGTGTAAAATCCAGTCTCTCTTTCATCAGTACTAATGGAAGTGAATGATAGTATGAGGTGATGGAAACATTTTATTTCCTAAACACTTCTCAGTTTGCCGTTGATTTCGGTTACTCCGGAGGACTGATCTTTCACAGCTGTTGCAAAATGTAAGTGGGTTTTTTCCCTGCTGTGCAGATATCTGCCTTTTTCTAAACTCTCCGTGGCACAAAAGGGTCTTTTTAAAATGTCACAAATACAAAGCAATTTATGTTGGCATTAAATGTAAACATTTTGCTGTGGTTGTTTATGGAAGAAATTGAAAGTTTAGGAGGGAATGGGTAAAAAAAGATAAATATTGAGCAACCTTCTTATAGAAACAAGAATGCGAGTTACACATAGTTTATTTCGTAGGAAATATCTTACATTCAGTTTTATCAGTTACTGTTTGAAAATCCTTGGGGCTTTGGTTTTGTATAATTACAGTAGTGCCTTTTATTGTGTACTCCTGCTTTTTGAAAGTAACTTTGTCAAATGCAGTGGCGTACGGAAGAACTATCTGTTGAATGCTTGCTTGTGGTCTAAGACTAGTGAAAAGTAGAGAAAATGACATTTGCACCTAGATAAAATTACATATATAAATAAATAAATATAAATATGCTTAGATAGCTGCATAGGAGTAAAAACTGTCTAAAACTGCCTGTGATATCAAGTGTTGGGGTAGGTTTTAAGTGAGAACTTTACTTGTAGGAATTATTTTCCGCTGAGGGTTAGCTCTGGACATTAATGCATACATATGGAAGCACAATGTTGATTCAGATGGAAGAGGAAATATCAATTTAGATTGAGGAATGTGTTCCTTATAATCCTCCCTGTTCTCAGTTATTCTTATAGAGCTTTGCATAGAGCTTGTAGCTATGGTGCGGGAATACTAACTTCAGTAGCAGATGTGAGCCTGAAGCTTATTACATGTTTCACCAGATGTTTCATTTATCTTTAGGGCAACCTTCTGGTTTGTTTTTTATATCAAACACTGTGAGAAATCAAAATTCAGAATGTATTTTAAACATGTTATGGGCATTGGAGATAAAGGAACCCTTTTATAACCTAAAGAAGCATTATGATGTCTCATATTTAATATATTTTTCTTTTAAACCGTATTTCAATAAGATACTTTATAAGTTCGTGTATTGATCCAATTTTCTTTACACCAAGCTTGCTTGTAAAGAAAATGTAGTCTTAAACTGAGTGTGTTTTGTGAATGCTCATTGTCTACTTCTGTATTTCTATATTAATAGCTTGTTCTAATATTTTAAATATTTGTTAAAATTTGTTTAGTTAAAAATCTTCAGGTTGAAGAAAGCTCAGTGTTTTCAGGTAATAACTTTGAATTTCAAGAAGAGGCACTACAGAGAAGGGCGATTCGGTTGGTGGTTATGGAAGGAAACTTGTCTGTGGGACATTTATGTGTCTTTGCACAATGGCCACTGCCTCAGTGAGGTCAGAAATTCAGCTTCTGTGTTCCTGCACCTGCTCACGTCCTTAAACCACGTGCCATCCTTGCCCTGAGTTACGAGGTTGTCCTAGAGCTGCTGTCTGTTTGGTGTCTCTTAATGAAACACTTGAGCCGCAAGGCAGGATTAGTAAGAGTAGAACAAAAGCAAATTTTGGAAAGTCTTACCGGTGAAAGTTGTAGGGGACAGCAAGCCTATAAGTCAGGCACATTTAGGAGCTTTGCTCATCAGGCACTTTCTCTGCCTTCTGTCTTTACTTTCATCGCTGTTTTAGATCCCTGTAAAAGAAATATCCCACTTAAAAACTTAATGAAAAAGCACAGTGAATTATTAGTCAACTCCAACTAAAAAGTAAGGAGGAACCAAGTAAATATTCTAACCTGACTCTGTGAATATTAGACAAGTTCTGGAGAAAAATAATAATAAAATGTTGTCAGTTTGCAAAATCAAACAGATCAAGTGTAATTATTCTCTAGAAATGCAGCACTGGAAAACAGCAGATCTTTTTTGCTCTTGTCCTTGAAATGAGAAGTACAAGACCGTCATTTTTATAACATTTTGGATCAAGAGTTTGTGAACTTCTTTGTAACGTGGAGCAGATCTTAATGAAGGCTGCTCCGTGCCTGCGATCCCTTGTTCATCAGTTCCTCATTTGTGACCAGTGCAAATGTCTCTCTCCTATGGGACTTAATTACAAAACCTCTCCGTAACCACTGCAATTGCTCACCTAGAAAAGTACATTGGGAGAGCAATTAATGTATTTTTAGCTGTCTTTTAAATAACAGTTGGCAATAAGAGGCAGCGTGGTGCGAACAGCAGTTCCTCCTAACACAGAATTTGGAAGTCTGCTGGAAAAGCTCAATGGCGTGTCTTTGAATCTGGGGTGGTTCCTCTATTCCTCCTCACGCTTCCAAAGTAACCCCTAGGGACATGAGCCGGGAGGACAGCTTTTAATTGCTGTGTGAACATGTGGGGCTAAGGAGTGTGAAAGTGAACAGACTTGGCTTGGCTCCTGCTTTAAAGGATGGTGGTGAAACAGGTAAATGTTTGGTTTGAAAATCTCACTGACAGGTTGTCCATCGAGGAAACGAAACCATTTACCATTGCTGAGAGACTCATGAAGCCTGAATTTGTGAAGTTGCTGTGGATTCAGCTCTCGCATACCTGAGTTTCTGATGTTTTTCTGTCAGTTGGCCGAATGTTTCTAACCCGGAGGGCCCTGGTGACATCTTCAGGGTGAGGGTGATGGAGCACTGGGACAGGCTGCCCAGGGAGGTTGTGGAGTCTCCTTCTCTGGAGATATTCAAGGCCTGTCTGGATGCCTACCTGGGCAGCCTGCTCTGAGGAACCTGCTTTGGCAGGGGGGTTGGACCTGATGATCTTTCAAGGTCCCTTCCAACCCCTACAGTTCTGTGATTCTGTGATCTTCACATGGGGCCTTCTCATCCACCTGCCAAAGGGGTGGGACATGGTTTCCCCAACCCCTCTACCCTATGCGTGAAAGCTCAAGAAGGATTATTTGTCAAAAGAGTGAGTGTCTTAGACTCTTAAACCAAACAGTAACTGGAAAACATGATTTACCAGGCAGGAAAAAAAAATCCCTCTTCCTCATGCCAGCGACCGGTGTGATGTAGTCGGTGTTTTATGGCGAAGGGCTCTGTGTGTGTGCGTGCACCGGTGCTCTCTACCAAGCAGAGCCATGGCTCGCTGTCTTCCTACAGAAAGGAGGACTTTTTTGGCAGTCCCCTTGGGTATATTCTTATGATAAAATGTGGAGGAGGTGTTAGAAACACAAATTGCAGTTTTTGAGTAGGTGTTTGGAGACTGAGAGCGATATAAACATCGCCTTCCTCTGAGGCAGAGAGAACTTCTGATGAAGTTTGCATATTTCCTGCTAGCACCGGGTATTATGATTGTGATACATAAAAATAAACCAAATTGGGAATTTTAAAATAATTATTTTCAATTAAACAGAAGTTGAGCTTATTTTTACTGAGTTATCACCTTTCCAGACCCTTCAGTTAGCACTGTTCACCTCATAAAACTTCTTTATTCTGAGCTGCGTTCTGATATGTGTATATATCTGTGACACGTGTAAATGTTCATTTTTTCAGTGAATTACTTCAGAAAATAGCTTTCTTTGTAATATTTTGCAGAGAAAGGGTATTCAGCAGTTTATCTAGATTTTAGACTGACTATAATATTTTTCAAGGGAATTTACTGACTTTGCTATTGATGGCTGCAACAGTCTTCCTCAAGTTTCTTGATTTAAATGCAATTTTAGCCATTGGTGCTCATGGTCACTGTATTGAGATGCTTTTTAATTTGTTATAGCATATTTCTTTCTGCCCTTTTTCCCTGTCTGTTGAACAAAATGAATTCTCTAGGCCTCTCTTTTCAAGTTCACTTGACATTGCAGTTCAGTGTTATTCAGTCCTTGGCTTTGTTTCCTTTCTGTCCTTTGACAGTTCTGTATTTTCGTGTTTGCCTGCCATATTGAACTGCAGTTGCAAATCTAAGCACAGTTTGTGAAAAAAATATTTTGGGACTGTCTTAGCCATGTTAATTTTTTGAAACCATTTCTGTTGCATTTTTGACATTCATTGAGAGTGAATAAAATAAATATAGTATGTGGCTGTTAACCAAAGATTTTGTACCTATTGTAACGAGTGTCTTGTTTGCATTTGAAAAAGTATTTAGGCTGAATCCTTTGAGAATTATATAGTGCTCTGCATAATTGCTTTTAACGTTTTCAATAACTAACAAAAAGATGAATGCAGAATGAAAATAACTGCTTTTGAAACAGAAAAAGTCTCCTTTGATGAAATTTCACACTATGGTTGTTTGTTTCTAAAAGCCTGTATTTTACTCAAACACAACTTGGATCACCATAATTTTTCTCTAGTGCGTAGCAGAACTTTTGTGAACTTGGTCCCTTTTTAAAACAGCAAACAATGATATTTTGTGACTTGGATTAGTGTTTGGTGTTTTTCATGTTTCCTTCTCCCTCTTAACAAGGTTCTAACTTACTAAGCCATCTTTCCAGTCACTGATGCGTTGAACTGCTGGGGTTGGAAGGGATGTCCAGAGGTCTTTGGTCCTATTGCCCTGCTCAAGCAGGGTCTGCTAGGTCAGGGTACTCAGGGTTTTGTCCACTCAGGTTTTGGTTACCTCTGAGAATGGAGACTCCGCATCTTCTTGGAGCAGCCTGTTCCAGAATTCACTCATCCTAACATTAGGAAAAGTGGCTTTTAAGTTGAATTTGCTGTGCCCTTGACTGTTGATCCTATTGGTGGGCACCTCTGAGAAGATTCTTTTTTCCTTCTTTATCTCCTCGCCCCCTTCCTGCTTAAGTACTTAGACTGATAAGATTCCCCTGGGACTTCTCCAGGCTGAACAATCCCAGCTCTCTCAGCCTTTCCTCCAGTCCATTAATCATTTTCATGCCCTTTTGTTGGATTCTCTCCAGTTTGTCCATATCCTCCTCGTACTGAGGAGCCGAGCACTCCAGGGGTGTCCTCACCAGGATGAGCAGAGGGGAAGGATCACCTCTCTTGCCCTGCTTGTGATGCTTGATGCAGCCTAGGAGGCTGTCGGCCCCCTTTGCTGCAAGGGCATGCTGCTGGCCCAGGTCCCGCAGGGACTTTTCTGCAGAGCTGCTGCCTAGCTGGTCAACCTCAAAACATGTTGGTGCCTGGGATTATTCCTCCCCACGTGCATGTCTGGTGCTGCTGGTTACAGCCCCTCTGCCTTTTACCTTGAGTCTGTTTGGACTGAATTAATCTTGATGAACTTCTTAAAAACCCAGCTATTATAGTTATGAAGGCATTTTGGCAGCCTGTGAAAGTAGAGGAACCACCAGGTGATGCAGTGATTCATTTTTTCCTCTAACTGGGGTGTTGCACTCTTTGGCTGCTGTCAGAATAAATGGTGAATGCTGTCTCAAGAGCTTAAAGTCTTCAGAGGAGAAGCACAAGTGGAAGGTATTGATTCGTCTAGTGCCTGTCAGAGGGTCCGTCAGCTGAGCAAGTAATGGAACAGCCGCCTCTTGCCTCGAGCTCCAAAGCTTCACCATGCTTTCTTTTACTCATTAGAGAACTGATTGTTGTGGATCCATCCTTGTACTTCCCAACTTGTTTCCCGTGTACAAAACCTACTTGAAGTTTATAACTTCCTCCTTGGCACAGAGTACGTCTTCTGCCTGTTTAAACAGGGTGTGAGTTTAGTTCTTGGCTACTTTAAAAGAACAAGCCACACTTAGATATAAAAGTTGCAAGTGTTATGTTGCTGAAATATTAGCTTTGGCTTGCAGAATTGTGCTGTATGATGTTACAGACCCTAGAAAGGGGAGAAATTCACCCTAGCTTTGTCTTACAGCTCAGTCTAAAAGCCAAGAGCTTTATTTTCTAAATTTAATATTCTTCAGCGTTTGAAGGTCTGAGTTTTGTTTAAATTATTTGGTAATCTTTGCATTTGATTATAGTGTGTGATCTCAAGTTGTCAGATGCCAAAGGCTGCTTGTGAGAAGACATGACTGTCTCTCACCTCAAATATCCAGCCACTCCTGTTTTTATTGTTCCTCTTGCTGTGCTATGGAAAAGGCTTCTTGAAGCTTGTCTGCGTTGTCTGTAACATCATGAATTCATTGTTTGAGGACACACTGAAGAATTTGCACTAATAATAGGGCATTCCTGGTGGTAGCCTGGGCCTTAGGACCAAGGAATGCCAATGTTAGTGCTGCTCAGTACGTACCTTGCTGTGTGAAAGCTTCTCAATACAGTGATACCATGCAGTGACGTGGAGTTTCCTTGTAGTATTGGGTTGCCTTGGTTTAAATGTCCTAGCTGTCAGTTTGTGATATGGCCAATGCTATGAAATCATATTTTTTTTGTTTTTGTTCGTGTTTGCTTTTGAGTAGAGGTAAATGTAATGCTGCAAATGATCACTTGCAGTGAGGTCTCTGTCTTGTTCGTTACTGGGCAGTGCCCTTTTCATTACTCATTGTTGAACTTAAATGCAGTAGTAATAGATACATTCTTACAGTTTATTTCAAGGCAGAAGGTATTTGCTGAATTACTTGCTTTACAACACTATTTTTCCACACTTACAAAAATATGACCTTGTGCATTAACATTTGCTACAGTATTCATCTTGATTCTTGGTTTAATGCTTGTCAAAATGTAGTATTTTGGTATATTTGCTCTCTCATCCCCTCTCTCTCGTGTGCATGCATGTGTATGTGCACACACAAGTGAAAACAAGGAAGCAGTAAGTGATAAGCAATCTGATTTCCTTGGGAAGAAAATTTGACCTGTAACAGTTAACAACTTGGGTTGTCCAAGATGAGATTGGAAGTCTGGTACAGAAATAGTTCAGGGATTTGGAGAATGTTAATGCATCGACACAGTTGGGCTGGATCTGTCGTGGCCAGATGAAATGTCATTTAGTTATACCAGGTTTTACTTTCTCCACATCTGTGTGGAAAGCCTCTGAAGACTCAACAATGCTTATTTAAGTACTTCAGCGATTTTTGCATGTTAAAATGAGGACTGGCTCTTCCTTTTCCCTCCCCCTCCCAAGTGTGGCATGCTAAAATGTTTCTGTGCCCCAATTAGGGAGAGAGCATTTTCATAGAAAGGCAGCAGGGGCTGGAAAAAATTGGTTTCCATGGTTCTTGCAGTGGAATGGTGTAGTTCTCCAGTGCTGGCAAGCCTTTCAAAACTTTACCTGCTGGCTTTCCTTGGCATCCGTGTTGTAAGGAGAAATCTGTACTGTTATGCCTGAAAGCTTACACTTAACATTTTAAGTACCTTAATGATGATGCACTAATTAAATGTTGCACACACTGCTTAATCAATAGATGTTGTGGCAGCAGTGATATAAGGAAACAGTACGGTGATGTAGCAGTGATGTTCTCCATGAACGTCTCTGTGTTGGAATTGGCGTAAGGTCAAGGCTTCACCTAATGAAACAGAAAACATTTCTTCAATTGATCAGCTCCAAGATTCTGTAACACGTTTCTCTTTATCCCATCAGTGCTAAGCAATGATGTTGGAAGTGTCTTAAAAAGTAAATGTGGATGCCATCATTCTGTATGACAGTTCTCTGGTAAGAATATCCTGTTTTCTCATTACCGTAGGCTCCTGCTTCCTGCTAGCATCTGTCGTCACTAAACAGCATTTTGCATCTCCAGTTCACTGCTGATGCATTTGCCCATCATGTCAACATTTGTGTAATATTATTTGGCTTTGGGAATTGGAGGAAGCTAGTTTCCACAGGCAGAAAGGGATTGCCTCTGTCAGAGCTTGATTTCAACTGCTGTTCCTTGGTGCAGCCAGCAGCTTCCAAAACGATTGTGCCATGGCTTCTGGCAGGCAGGACTTGATTAAAACACGAAAAAGCACAGGTTTGCATGAGATGTGAAAATGTCTTGTCCAACTGCAATTATCTAGAAGGCTTCCAGGCAAATACCTTCACAATTTTGGGACCACTGTCCACTACCTACGTGTCCTGCAAAATTGTGTTTTTTTTTAACCTCCCTACATGTTAATTGGTGTCTTCGACTGTTCAGCCCACCTACAAACAATCCCCGTAGTACTGCTTCACAAACTAAAATCTATCTGAAGAGAGAACTGCGAAGAGCTCCTGGTAACCAACATGCTACAATAAAATACCAGTGTAATGTATATTCCCTATGAACATTTTACTGTATTATATATATATATATAAAAGGAAACTTCTTATTCTCAGTTCTGGCTCTCATTAGGCATTAGCTAAGTACGGATCCACAACCTCCACATGTGCAACACAAGCCTTTCATTTCATCTATAGAAATAGTAGCTGGAGGGTTGGTTAGTTATCCTTTCAGAAACCTACATATTAAGATATTTTTGTTAGCATTTTGATAGTAAAAATCAGCATTTCTTTCCCCTTTGATTTCAAGTTTTTGTCCAGTGATAATAAGTAATGTAGGTGAACGTGTCCATCTCCCATGTAGTCGTTGGGTCTGTAGTCTGAGAACGGAACCAGCCCCTCTCAGACCTTTCTGTGTACAAAGATGAATAAAGGTTCTTATTGTGGCAGGGATGCCAAGCAGGAAGAGTTGATTTTTTATCTGAAAGTCAGTGCTTGACAAAGTGAGGGGCTGACCCAACGTCTCATAGTGGAGAGGTGGTTTGGCATCTTTTTTTGGAATCAGGCTGACTCGTACCTTGTGCGGATGGCAGTTGTGTGTGGCTTGAGGGCTTGGCTGGTAGAGATGATGAGTGTTCATAGCGTACAGCTGAGATCCAAACTAAGAAAACCTTTTCTGGTGCTTTCATGGCTATTATTCACCGTTCTCTTAAGACATCTGAATGGGGTGTCGTGGTTGTTCTCTGCAAGGTGGACAGATGAATGTCTACATGCTGTATGGGATGCATTACAAGGGTGTCAGGTATTGTAAGAGGTATGGTTGGAATGTCCTTGTGACTGTTCATTGAGGTATTATACAGAGCTCCTACTTACTGATTTAAAAGAAATAAACACTGTATTATCAGCAAGTAACAGCACGTGGACCATATAAAACTAGGAGGCTTTATAAAGGTAGCGTGAATTTGGGGGGGAATTTGTGTGGGGCCCCTGGGCCCCTCCTTCTTCCGGATGGCAGCAGTACCTGGTAACTATTTCTGGTCTTCTGGCACGTGGTGGGATCCTGCCCTGTGTGAATAGGCCCCCAGTGGAAGATGCTGTAAGCCTGAGGCTGAAGACATGCTTGTCTCTTTTTTTCCTCCCCAATGCACTTAACACATTTGAAAGCTAGATACTTGTGTAATTTTGATTCAAAAGACGTGCTTAAGGGGGTATCAACCACATTCTTCCTAAGCTTTGCCAAAAATTAGAACTTTTCTTGACTGATTCTCCCTGCCAAATGTTTCAACAGTGTTATCCCTGCATTATGGGCTGATGGAGGTCACAGAAAACAAATAGCTTGTG